TGAGCTGCCGGTGCACGGCTTGGACAGACCCGGTGGAGGCAGTGCTCGGATCCTCCCCTACCCCCGGCCCGGCCTCGATGCTCCTTGTAGCTGCGGGACTTTTTCTCCTCGTAGCAGCCGGCCCCTGAGCAGATGGACCAGGGGCGTGGGGATCTGATCTCCCCATATTATATGCAGCCCCACCCCATACAAGGAGCATGGGTCCAATTCCCCCAACGTGCCAGGATGGGCCCCACTGGTACAGGCTCGGATTTCTCCTCACAGCCATCGCCAGGCTGCAAGGATGCTACGGATGTGGGGTTCTGATTCTCCCCGTGCACCCACCCCTGCCTGCACGGGGCCCCGGGGGCTGCGGGGTCTGTCCTTCGGAGGAGCAGGGAAACGCAGCCTCTCAGTGACAGTATGCCCAGTGCCTGTTGCACCCCTTCGCGCTTCTCCCTTTTCTGAGCTCTTCCACTTCTCCCCCGTTTCCTCCTGCTTTCTGCTCCGCCCCCCCCCGGCCTTTTCCCTGCTCCGAGGCTGATCTGTCCTGTCCTTCCTGCCCAGGGACTCCCTGCAGCTAGATCTGCCCTTGCTCTGTCCCACAGATTTTGCTGCTGCTCTCCTTGCCATCCACCCGCCTGTGGTGGCCCAGCCCTGCCCCAACCGTCTCCCCGGCTCCCACAACCCTCCTGTGCTGCCCTGCCGCCCCAGCTACCTCGCAACTGCTTTGCTCCAGCTGTTTCCCTGTGTGGTAGGGCTGGCTCCACATGCCCTGCACAGCTCTAGCTGCTTTCCCTGCTGGGAAGAGCAGCCACATGGAGTGTCTCCTGGTGTGGCATTTTTTTTGGCCAGTGCTCGGCTCCAGGTGCCACTAAACACAGCGTAAACACCATGGACCCTGAGCCCTGGGTTTTCTTCCTTGTCCCAGAAGGCAGAATAACCCTGTGGGCTAGAGGAGGTGAACTGAGCCTCTGACTTCTTTGTAGTGGGATCAGTCCCCTGCCTTCCCTGGAAATGCCTGGTATTTCTGCTCTTCCAGGTCCACAGAAGGGAGTGGGTCTGTGCAGGGCAAGTTTCCTACGTGTGGTGAGGCAGAGCCTGAGGACAGGGCTCTGCTAGTCCCTGTCTCGATGGGTCTGAGCCATCTGTTTCCTCACCAGTACCACTCCAGCCTGGTGCCTCTGCCTGCCAGGGTGATTGATGGTGTGCGCTAGGGAGGCTGCTGCAGCCGTGGGGAACCGCGCTGTGCAACAGGCCACATTCTCGGGCTTTCTGGGCCTCACGCGCCTGTCCTGCTGACAATAGCCTGACAGAATGACAGGAGCAGCTTCACAGGCCTCCTGTGATGGGCACGGAGAGGAGAGACCAGTGTCTCCATGTGGGGACAGGAGGCTGCAGGCTCTGCCCTTCTACCACCACGGCCAGCTGCAGCTGCTCAGATGGCACTGGGTGCCTTTCCTGCCTGCCCAGGCTCAGCCCTGGTACTCGAAATCTGAGCACCCTGATGCAACCCACAGCCCAGTCACCAACTCCTCAGTGGTGTAGGGAGCTGCTCAGAGAAGCAAAGCCAGCTCGGCTGGGGCCAGGAGGAGAGCGAACGTTGCCTCTCCCTTTCCCTTGAGTGCACATGAGCAGCAGCCCCCTGAGGGTCAAGGCACCGCAGCAGAGATGGGGAGTCCTGGAGAGGCAACTTGCAGAGAGAAGTGCAGGACCACCGCCTGTTCAGGGCTCCTGCTGCTTGCAAGTGACTGGGTTTACATCCAATTAAGTTGTAACGAATAAATTAAAACCCTGGAGATGGCCCTGGCTGTGGAAATTGCTGCTGCAGGATTTACGGTCCCTTCTCTCATCAGCACTGGTAACTCTACTGTTATTTCCACCATGCTCTCTGTTCTTGCCTGGCACAGCAGCATTGAGATGAGACATAGCTAAAGGTCCCCAGTGCCCCAGATCCCTCCTGTGGTACAGGCAGGTACACCCTGGGCAGCTGGGTGCAAAGCCAGGCTGGGCTGAGCCTGCAGCAAACCCTGAATTAAGCTCCTCAAGCCCCGGTAAGGAAGAGCAGGAAGGAAGTCTCCCTGGCTGTGCTCTGCTCCTGTGAAGCTGCTGTGGGGAGAGGAGGGGGCTCTGTCCTCTCTGCTCTTCTCCATCTGGGCTCTTCATCCTCCTCCTCTCATGGGGAGAAGGCTCAGGGATTAAGAAACATCTTCTCCCTGCCTGCTGGGGATGGTGCCTCACCCAGGCAGAGCAGGGGCAAGACCCTTCAAGCAGCCCAGGGAGGCTGTTGCTGGAGAGGTGCAGGGGCTGGGGATGTTCTGTAAGGATCAGGGCACACCACAGCAGTGGGGTGGCCAGGCTGCATGCAGGGCAGTGAGGGATGCAGGGGGACTTCCACGCAGAAACCCTGGTGCTCGCTGCGCTCCCACCTCCATTTCACACCAGTACCCGCGGCACCGGGTCCTTGCAGCACAGCTCTGGTTGGGATCAGCCAACAGTAACCCACCCTGTCCGAAGGCTTGTCCTGCTCAGAGCCCCGGAGCCAGAACTGGAGCAGTCCCCTCCTGTGCATCCATGTGCAAGAGCCCATCCACACCTGAGGCATCTTCTCTGCAAACACTCAGGCAAATTAATGGCTGCTGCTGCGGGGTGTCCAGGGATGGCTGTGGGGAGCCAGTGTGTGAAGCTGTGCCAGAGCAGGCACAAGGCTTCGTTGCAGGAGGGTTTTACAGCCTGGAGAGACTGTACAGACCCAGAGGTGAGCAGGACAAGGAGAATCAACTGACTCACATGACTCCCTTTGGTGCTTTCTCCCAGAATGTGGGTGCAGCCTCTTGGTCCCAGGTGTCCTCTCTCCTCCTGTCCCCTGACAACCTCTGCTCTTCTCGTACATTACCACACATCACCCAGCAGATCTCCGCACCTGCCCATGTCCTGCACGTTCCCCAGTTCCTTGCTTATAAGAGGGCCAGTCCCCGCAAACATCTCCCTTTTCTGCCCCATAGGAAGCAGGAGAGGGGGGCACAGCAGGGTCTGCTGCAACCTGCTAGGAGGCCTGGTCAGTGCAGGAACCCAGAACACATGGGAGAAGGTCCCAGCCCCAGTGGTTCATGTGCAGCCTCATTATGCCCAACAGCACACAGCACAGGTGATGCAGCAGACTACATTTCCCAGCGCACTGTGTACTGCTGAGCTCAGCGAGTGCAGGGCTGTGCGTGCTCTGCTCCATGGCTGCAAGTTGCAGCAGCCCACGTCCAGCTGTGAGCAGGGACTGGTGAGGTCCCCACTGTGCAGGCATATTGTTTCCCCCCCATTCCTCCCTGGAACTCCAGCTGCAAGGCCAACACGGGGCTGTCTGCAGTAAGAGGGCTTCAAATATTTGTTGTGTTGTTTATTTTCTACGAGCAGAGCCAGCACAGCTCCTGGCAGCATTTGCTCACTGCCTCCCGTTGTCTCCTGTTGATGCTCCTCATGCCTGGGTGCCAGTACCATGATATCTGTGGAGGCAGCATCCACATGCCAACCCTATCTCTTAGTGGTGGGCTGTGATTTCAGGTCCCTGCACCGCTTCTCCTCAAACAAGCCCCAGTGACCTTGCCAGGGTACACAACAGGGTGGCAGGGGACTGAGCCAGTGGTGCCTGAACCCAGATGAGTGTGTGCCTGCTGGAAGCCCTGTGGGCTGTGAATTTGAAAACATTGAGAATACTGATGAAACAAAACCAACCACCACCTCTGAAAAGGAGGGTCTGGCAGCTCTGGCCATGCGTTCACCACCTGTAGCACAACTACATCCTTGCAGTGAACCAGCACTGAAGAGAGCTTCACTGGTCACCAGGAGCTAGTCACCTCGTGCCAAACAGGTAGGGGCAATGCTACCACCTCCAGCATTTCTCACCCTACTCCTGAACCAGCCTGAACAGCTTATCTCACAATTCCTGCCATGGTCCCACCCTCCAAGGCTGCCCAGCAGGTAACAGGGCTGCTCCTTGTCCTCTTGACCTGGCCCTGGGAAATGGGGCTCTCAGCAGCTCCACACTCACCCCAAGGAGGCTGTGCCAGCCTTGCTCCATCTCCTGCCTCTTGCCAGGCTATTAGTAACACTCCCCAGCCACAGCGCAGCGTCCCTGAAGTGCTTGTGGTTCTGCCAGACATAAACTAGGAGCAGAGACTCCAAGAACCTGGTCTGGCTGCAGTGGTGGGCCAAGCGGGACCACATCAGAGCAGGTCCAGGACTGGCCTTGGCTGAGCTGGTGGGAACAGCCCTGTGATCCACAGCACCAGCTGCAGGAGAGCAGAGCTGAAAGTGCTCAGTGGGTCTTGGCCTATGCCTTCGGGGAAGAGACTTCACCCATGGTTCATCACTGCCCTTTCATCTGCACGGCTTGATGTTGCTGCAGGGAGGAACTCAGAAGCAGCACAACAATGTGGATGGAAAGGCCGGTGAGGGCATGCATAGCTCAGCACAGTGCCTGCCAAAGACCCTACAGAACAAATCAACATCCTCAGCCTTGCCCTGGTTTCCTTACCCATCCTAAAGCTGACAAAAGGAAAACCTTCTGGAGGAAAGCAATGCATCAGGCTGGAGAACCATCCCCTGGTGAGCTCTGAGCTTCTGTTTGGGAAGGGCACATCCGACCCCAACCACAGCAGCATGGGTGAGAGAGATGCTCCCCGTCCCTCCTGCTCTCCTGTCCCCAGGTAGAGACTGTGGAGCCCTGCTTATTCTCCCAGATGCCCGAGCAAGAGGTAGATGCTGCAAGGGGCTCCTCACCCTTGCGCCAGCAGACACTCAGGCTACACCTCTCTGAGTAACTCCTTGGCCTAAGCGTGGTCCTGTAACTGCCCACACCGCTCAGCTGGTTCCCTGACACAGTTTTGTCCTGTGCTAAATAGGACAGGTTCAAAGGAGGTCATGGGCCAGAGCCATTCCCAGCAGGAAATGTAGACACAGCCACCTCCAGGCAGAGAGGAGACTTGAGCCGTGTGCCTGTCCTCCTGCGGCTGCTGACACTTCCCTTTCGACTTCCCCTTCGACTTCCCCTCTCTGTGCCAGGGCACAGAGGAGCAGGGTGACGGTGCTGGGCTCTGGATGTCCATGGGAGCCTTTCACCTGGAGGTCACTGATGCCACAGCCATGTGTGGGCAGTGATGCTCTGTCCAGGTGTCGGAGAGGCTGGAAAGTGGACCATCAGTTCTCCATGCACTAGCAAGATCAGGAGCTCCCTGTGACTTGGGGCATTTCCCAGTCATTTCCCTTGTCCCCGTGCCCTGTCCAGACTCTGTCCAGGCAGGAGGCAAGGCAGGCTGAGGAAGCACAGGCTGGAGCATGGCCCAGCATGGGGAGGGAAGGCAGATGCGCTGTGTTCGGCATGGAAGTCGCCATCATGCCGCTGCTTGCAGCCAATTCAATCACAGCTCTTTATTGCTTCTCCTGGCTGTTGAAAATCTCATTCAGTTGAGTGAGCTCTGTGAGCAGTGTTGCCAGCCTTTCTCGTCTTCTGTCCTCTCCCACGAGTCGAGGCACCCTGACCTCCAAGGAAGTGCATCAGCACATTGGGGCCTGGGCCAAAAAACCTTTCCGCACCTTGTAGTACATGGCGGGGTCTGGCACAGACAAGGTGTGCCAGGGTCTGCCACGAAGACAAGGGCAAGGAAAGGAGGTGTGGTGTTCTATGCGGGGACATCTCTACAACACAACAGAGCGCAGGAGCAGGGCTGTCCACACACGGCGGCCTTGTACACCACGGTGGGTAAAACATCAGGAAGGAGAGTGAGTCCAACTCCTTAGTGGCAAACATGTGAGGCTGATGGTCCCAGGCCAGCAACAGTAGAAGCAAATGATACTTGAGCCAGGGCAAGTGCTGGTAGTGCTGCTTTGACCTGGGATCTCTGTCAGATACAGCAAAAGGTAGAGCTGAGGTGCATGGGGCAGGGCTTTGATCCTGCTGTTCCCTGCACGCTGCAGCCCTGTTCCCAGGCAGCACCTGCATGCCACCATAACATATTAATACTTTTGATTACTGTGGCCTAATTTCTGTCCACCTGTGTCATGGCTGGCTGGTCACCCCACCCTGCTGAGCCCTTGTTCTACAGTGGCTGATTGCGCCAGCACTGGACAAACTGGTCTCCTGGGGTAATTACAGCCAGGAGAGACCTGGTGCTGCAGGCTGTGGGTGAGCCAAGCGTGTCACCACTAGTCTAGCACCTGGGGTGTAAGGCACACCATGATGCATGGCAAGTCCTTTCTTATGGGACATTCAGGAGCATCTGTGTGGATGCCCTCTAGCCTGGACTCTCACAAAGAAGGACCATCACAGGCATCATCTCGCCAGGCTCCTTGGAGGGAGGCTAATATCCTCCTCCCAATGCCAACCAGAGACTGACTTCCTCCGTGGCAGGGGTGAAGCAGCATCCACCCTCCGTCCCTACTGCCTCCTGCCTGGAAACCTGCCTCCCCAGCCTGCTTGTCTCGTGGCCCTGGGCTCTGTGGGATTTCTGCTGTCCAAGGGGGAATAGGCCAGGCTAAGAGGGGGTTCCCGATAGGAGGTTGTTACATGGGATGGAGCCTTCCCTTTGCCCAGAGGTCAGCTGTGGTGCTGCTGTAGATCTGCTCAGCATTTTCCCCTTGGCTTGATCCTGGGCTGGAAACGCACGTGACTTTATCCACTTATTTATAAAACAAAGGACAGCTGCTCTCTGGGCTCTGGGCACCATGCCATCCCCACCACTCTCACTGACTTACCAGGATGCAGTGCCCTCCTCCCTCCTTCTCTTCCACCTGCCCAGCCTTTCTGGGGAACAGCATCATACCACGACAAGCCTTCGTCAGAGGCTGAAGGCTGGGGGAAGCCAGCAGACTCCCAGGGGCTTCTGCAGGGCCACACACTGAGGAAAGGGGTGAGCAGGAGCCCAGCCCAGACCTTGACTTTCCAGTTCCCCATGTGTGAGGGAAGCTGCTTTGCGGAGGCACAGCGCTCTGCTGGTGGCAACCGCACAGCCAGGACACAGACAGCCATTCTGGGATGGGTCAGGCGGGAGCTGTGCCAGCTCAGGGCCCCCCTGGCAGCAGCGATGCCTCCTCCAAGGCATCATCATACAGCGCCAGGCAGGACGATGGGTCTGTGCAGCCCCCAGAAGACCAGCTAACACCACCAGCTGTGCCACCTTCCCCCCAACCAGGCTCCATTTCACTGGGGAAACAGATGCTTGGCTTTTTCTTCCCTATTCATCTGGTTCCTTCCGGGCTCAGGTTATTTTCAGCACTTCTCTGTTCCCAGCTACCCTGGGTGGCATAGGCAGTTCCTCAGGATTTGCTTTCCTCTGGAAGCTGTACAAGCTGAGAACTGAAAGGGGGAAATGCCAAGCCCTTTATTCAAGACCCGTGTACAGAAGGAGAGATTCCATCCAGAAGGATGACTCCACCAAACACATGCACTCCATCAGCTGCCTATGAGAGATAGCTGTGACGTGTGGGGCCAGCACATGGGGTTGGGTGGAGCATTTGAACGACAGTGATGTAGAGAGGCTTGTGCAATGAAGGAGGTGCAGAGCAAATGGTTTGTCTAGGAGATAGAGAGCTGCTCCACTCAGGCAGCGAGAGAGACCACAGGCACAATATGCCACCCCTGCCAGAGGGCAGATGAGGGGATGTGGGTGTGAAACACAGGAGCAGAAAGAGCAAGTCAGAAGTATTGATCTTGATGCAGAGAGCCTGCCTCGAAAGCAGCACCTTCAGGCAGCAGGGTTTGGGGAGAAGCTAGTCTGGTGTGAGGTGTTGCTCCAGATCTTACAGTTCCCACCTCCTGGGCTTAGCCAGGTTCCCTGTCCAAGAACCAGTGTGGGATGTGCCGAAGATGGCCCTGGGGATGGGAGCAGGAACAGCTGGACCAGATGTGGAACTACTTGGAGGTCAGAACTGGAAACCCCATTTCTGAGCACATCTTCCTCAAACCAAAAGGCAGCATCCCACGCCCCTCCAGCCTTACTCCACCCTGCTCCCAGCTGCAAACTGCTTATGTCCAATTTTGTGTGCTAAAAATACCTTTCTGGGCAGTCAGCAAGTGTGCAGCCAGATGGGAGAGGGTTGCAGTCTGGGAGCAAAGGGAAGTGGGGGTATATTTGGGGTAGGTGTGGGCTGCAGAACAAGGCCAGACGGGCCTGGGGAGGCTGGGCAGGGGGCTGTGGGCTGTCTGTCACTGCAGAGGGACACGCGTCTAGGTGGCAGTGCCAGGGCAGACAGTCTTGCTTGGCTTGAGTCCATGCTTCTGAGGAGAGGGGCATGGCGGGGGGGTGGGGGGCCATGCACAGATGGACTCAGAAAGGTGGGGAGATGCTCGCTGTGGAGAGCAGGCAGCAGGTCCTGCTCCCTCCCCTGGAAAGAGGTCGCTGCAGCAGTCAGAGCAGAGGGGAAGGAGGGATGGTTACCCAGCACCCGGGGCCTGCCACAGCTCTGCCCAGCACCCAGGAGTGCCCTCCTGGGACCCCTGCGCCCTGCCGGGCTGTCCCCCCTCACATCTCTGCTCTCAGCCCACCTCTCCTGGGGGAGGCCAGGCCACGGGCAGACCTGGCAGCTCCATAAGCCACCCTGGGAGCAGAGACGGCAGCTTTGGGTGGCCGGTGCCACAAGAGGGAGTCCCTGCCCTGGCTGCTGCCACCAGCTGGGTGACAGTAAAGATGTCCCGATGGCAACCCGCTCCCAAGCCAGTACAGCTCCCTGCAGACCTCCCAGATGTTTTGCTGGGCCTAAGGCAGGCTGTGATAACCCATCATGACCAGGCTGTCCCCCTGCAGGGATCCCTCTGCACCCCGGCACTGTTGGGGCTCCCCTTACCCTCTTTCTGCCCATAGGTCTGGGATTCTGCCCATAGGTCTGGGATTCTCCCCCCAGGTCTGGGAGAGCTGTGCTGTAGGGGACTGGGACATCTGGATTTTACTGTCACCTTGAGGAAGGGGCTGAAGGGTTCCTAAGTGCAGGGTGGCACGGTGCCCTGGCCTTTGTCCGCCTGACAGCGCTGCAAGATCCCTGCATAGAAGAAGGTTCAGGGCTGGTGGGGTCGGGAAGGTTGCTGGAGGGGTGAGGAAAACCCCACAGCAGGGCTTGGGGCTAGGCTGTAGCTGGGATCCTGCGGGCATTTTCCAGCTCTCCCTGCCAGAAGTGCCTCTGGGCTCTGGCAGCGCAGGCTGCAGCCCTGGCTGAGGCAGATGCTGTGTCCTGGAGAGGAAGCAGCAACATGTGGGGAGCCAGACCCCCAGATCACACAGGGTCGTGCGCTGGTGCTGTGCAGGGAGCAGACCCCTGCCTGGCCAGCCCGGGGCTGGATCTGACTGGGTTACCCTCCCCAGGCCTGATCCTGACCCTGTGGGATAACATCCCAGCCTGGCCTCAGCCCACCACCATCACCATGGCTGTGTCTGATGATCTATAGGTATGCCCCACACCAGGGTCCCTCAACGACAGGTATGGAGCAGGGATGGGGATAAGCCTCAGATATATTTCTGTTATTTGTGAGGTCTGACACAGGAACAGAATTTACTGTAGGGGATTGTGGTTGGATATAGTAGCACATACAGTGCTTTCCACAAAGCCGGATCGTCAGAAGCCACAGCTGCTTCTCCTTCCCTTGTGGCTTTACGGATGGTTTTGAGCCCTCAACGTTCTTCCCTATCAGCAGTAAAACTGATTGTAAATTGAAGATGGTTTAGGTTTTTCTCTCTTCAGTCCGAAGGTCTGAGTCGTGTTAGTTCATTGACGATCGAACTGGACCTCCAGGAAACAGCCCATCAATGATGCTTACAATGATCAAATCAACAGCCTTGGGGCCTCAGCCCCATTGATAGGAAGGTATGTGACTGGCTGGCTTTATTAAGTGCAAAAGCGTACACATCCACTGCACACTACAGCAGGAAATCTGTATAAGAAAGCATCTAAGATGTGTTGAGATGGTTCTGTGAGACTTAGTGCTGTTGCAAGGGCTACAGTGGTGTACACAGAATATGCATAGCCTACATGTGATGTGTTCTTGGAAGCGCAGCAAGTGGTCTCATGAAGCTGAAGCTCATCACCTCCTGTTGATCATGCCATGCTGAGTTTGGATTCATGAGTTGCTATGTGGCTTGACAGTCCCTTGGAAACCTTCTCTCATTTGAACTTTGCTATGTGGTTCCCAGTGAAGTAAGGCATCTTCACTTGAACTAGCAGCTGTAATGTTAGACTGTGTAAGAGCTAGGCATATGACTGAATCTGCTGGCTTTCAGTAGTTTTTCAGCATTTTTCTAGCACATGCTATACACCAATACAACAAATCTCAAAAAATGGTAAATTTCTAAGGGGGAAGAGGCCAAACACAAATTGCTAGGCCACAGTGCATTTCAGGATAGGGGTAAAGAAACGAAATACTCACATCAGCTGCAATAGGAAACTTCTTGCACCACAAGTGCATTTTTGAAGCTTAGCTGTTTTCTTTCACTGTTTTTGCTTCTTCCAGATAGCAAAGAGAGGCAGTGAGAGTGTCTACATCCAACACTGGGATTTTATGAGGGCATCACCAAGTGAGTGCTGGCTGTGGCCGTTCTCCTGGGTGCTTGCACCTTTGCTGGCTGCACAGGAACAAAAAAAGCCTGGTTCCCAAAGGCCAGGGAACAGCCAAGGAAACAGGAGGACATGACTTAGTGCTGCTGGTCCACCTGCTGCAAGCTTGCTAGAAGACTTTACCCCATTAATCTCACAACAGCTGTATGTGAGACAGCTGGACGTGATATACTGATGTTCCTGAATGGATCTTAGGAGACACCTAGCTTCCAGAAACCACTCAGTGCTGCTGCTCTCCTGGGGTAAGGCAGATAGATACACTGGGCACTGTCCTGCGGTGTTGAGGATGGTGGTTCCTGGGAAAGGATTTGCCATGGAGCTCTGGGCCAGCTGGTCCCAGCGGGTGGTGATGAGCACCCTGGGTGACAGCACCCGTTCCCAGCACACTGACTGTGTTGGACCATAGAGGAATCATACTACTCTGTCCAGGGCAACAGAGAGAGGGAGGCCGTATAAACCACAAAGTTGAAAGAGGAGCTGCCCAGGAAAGCTGCAACAGTGCAGGGAGCCAGGACTCATGGAAGCTTGAGGCCATGCAACAGTATGTGAGCTGGAAAGAGAAGAGCTCAGAGAAGAGCTTGGCAGTGGCGTCTTCAGGGACAGGAGACTGGGGCAGTGTGAGTGAGCCAGCCTTGGAGTTATGGCCCAAAACGAGGAGTGCCTGGGGAATTCCCTCCCATACCCAAAGACCCTGCCTGGCCTAGCCAGGGACAGGAATAGGTCTTCTCCATCCAGCTCCAGGAAGACCCCCTTACCCCCAGTACTGTGTGCACTGCCCAAGTCGAGGCACTTCACATCCTAGAAGGCACTGAGAAAGTGGAGGTCAGAGCAGGATAGCAGGAAAGGTTTGGAGGAGAAGGGAAATGAGCCATATCTGGCTTGTTCAGAGGCTTGTCAGATCTGGAAGGTCTATTGGTGGGGTTCAGCAGCAAGATTGTTGCAGCTGTGTCAGTTCAAGGTAATAAGTAGAGAGTTTTCAAGGCAAAAGTGATGCATGTAGAGAGTACCCTTGGTGGGCATGTGAACCAGGGCTGTTTTCTTCAACATCCACCCCTGGATCTGGAGGAAGAGAGGAGTGAGGCAGACCCGAGAAGGTTCTGGGGGTGTTTGTGGGAGCAGGGCTATGGAGTCCTGCGATAGCTGGCAAAAAGGCTGGACCAAGGCACCCAGGAGACCCCACTGAGCCTGGACCCACTTACCTGTGGGCAGATGGGCAAGGAGCAGCCCTGTGGCTAGTGGGATGCTCTCTTTCCAAAGAGGAAGCTTCTTGCACTACATGTGATTTCCGTACATGGCTGTTTCATTTCTGTGTCTGCACAGCTCCAGTGCTGGGTTACGCATACACCTTTCCTAAGTGGCTCAGACTGAGTTCTGCCTAGGGACTTCATGCCAGCATGGCCCTGCGAGGGCTGGCTCTGGCCTTTCTCCTGGTGCTTGCCCCTCTGCTGCTTGTGTGGGGACAGAAGGACGCTGGTCCCAAGAACCAGGAGGGGGCCAAGGAAGCAGGTAAGAATGGGTTGCACCTCTCTCTTACAGAAAAGGTTTTGCTACTCTTTTACCCTGTTCAGCCCACAGCAGCTGTGTTGGGAAGGGCTGAGACTAGTGTCTGCATCAGTCCTGAGGCACTTGGGCATCCATTGGGATGTGGTGGGGCAAAGGTCTGTTTGGAGATGGAGGGCGGCAAATGTCAGTGTGCTGGGAAAGCCTCCATGAGCGTGGGAGCTGCAGTGTCCCTCTGGTGAGTGGGTAGTGTCCCTGGGAGCAGGAGGTGGCCAATTCTTGTTGCATGGTGGACAGACGAAGCTGGGGCAATGAGAGCAGTGGTGGCTTTCCTGGGGCAATCCAGGCAACATTTGTATCTCAGGGGAAGGTCGTGGTGGTGTTCAGCAAAGACGGGGGGAGCTGTGAGGTGAATCCCTGTGTTAGCTGGGATGCCTGCTCTCTCCTGTAATCCCTAGGGCTGGGGGAACTGTAGTTTGGTGGGATTGTTCTTTAACAGTGTTGTTCTGTTCTTTTTCCATGCCAGGAGGGCTAGGGGCACCTCCTGGGTCTCTGCTGGGTTCTTCCTATGGAGAATGTGGGCTTTCCTACAGAGACTGTGTGCTGTGCCCTGGGACTGCCAGTAGCTGTTGAGGTCCCCATGGGCACAGCAGGAGTGGCTGCTCTTTGCACCCGGGGCTTGCAGTCCGGAGGCGTGAGTCATTGTCTCTGCAGGGAAATGCGAGCAGAAGTGGCTTGCCAAGTCATTGGATGGGTCGTGAGTCATGTCACCCATCCCTGGTGGCTGGAGGGATGCTGCCCTTCCAGCAATGGGCACCCCTCAGCTATCCAGGGCAGGATGGAGCCTGTTCCCCTTGACTCAGCAGCAGCTCCTGCCCCTTCCTCCTGTTCCTCACAGCCCATCCCTGGGAAGCCCTGTCCGTAGTCATGGCTCTCCCTCCTTGGCCTGAGGAGTACCAGGTGGAGGAGGGTGTGATGGGCTCAGTAGAGGCATTGACTCTGAGTGGCTGGGGGAGATTTCTTGGTTCTCTGTCTGAAGAAGACGTGTGGGCACCAAATTGAGCTTCTGACCATTATCCTCTATTGTGCCACTGGCGTCTGCAGCACTGAAGGAGGCCATTGGAGTCTGGATTATGGGTAGCCCAGCAGAGCTGCAGGCAGAGGCGGAGCTTGCCTCCACCTGTACTGAGAGGAAAGCTCTGGTGCCAAGCCAAGGGCCCGCAAGGGCTTTTGCTGCAGTTGGTTCTCTTCAAGTGTCATCAAGGAATCATGTCTGCCATAGACGTGTGCTTTTTTCACCTTCTCTTTGTGTCCTGTGTCATTGCTGTTCAGGAATAGCCATGAACATCTGAATGACCCACATGCATTTTCTAGACCAGACCTAGACAACAAAGGCTTGCGTAACTTGCTGACAGTGCTTTTGGCCCAGTTTTGCTCACCTTCCTCTCCGCACTGAGGTCTGCATGAGACAGCCTTGTGCTCCCATTGCCCCCCCTTGCTATGTCCCTTCTTGTGCCTTGGCCTTGCCAGCTGTTTCCTCACTGGCTCTTCTTGTCGACTTCTACTCCCTTAAGAGTGCAACCTGCTTGTCACTGTGTCCTCTTGCATTGCAGGTCATCGTCAGCCTCCTGACTGAGCCAGGCTGTGCTTTTAGTGCATCCTCTGTCCTCCTTCTGTGTAAGGGTGTTGCTCCCTAGCCTTTCGGATTGTAGAGCATCTTAGGGACAGCCAGCCTTTGGGATCTGATTCCTGACAAGTAACAATAGGAAAGAAATGTTCCTTCCCACAGGCGAAAATCTGCTCTTTGAAGCGTGGTTCATTTTCCTGCAGCAGAGGGATGTCCTCCCTGCTAGCTGGTATCCTTGTTCAAATGTTTGGTGCTGGGCAGGTACCCTGGACTCTGCTGGGGTGGGAAGGATCCTGGATGTCACCTTGGGGCAGGAGTGGGAGAGCATGTGCGCTACTTCAGGGCGGTTTAATGATGGGAGGGGGGAAGGTACATGCCAGGGATGACTAACAAGGCTCAGATTGAGTGAAGGGTTTCAGGTCTGTCAAGGCTTTTGGCTGTCACAGTGAAGTGTGTGATCTGAGGGCACTGTGAGGGATCCAGCTGCGGGGGAAGAAGAAGTTTCCTATCTGGACAACACACATGGTCTCAAAGGATGGGGCTGGTAGCCACTGTCCTTTGTGATGGAGGGCCAGGGTGCAGGGTTGAGATGATGATGTGAGAACCCACTACCAGATAAGGGAAGTGTGGTGATGCCCCTGTTCCAGTGGAAGGGAGTGCAGCCCCATGAGTGCTGGCTGGCACGTAGTGGGAAGTTGTAGAGATGTGTGAAGCTGAAGAGAGGTTTTCATCCTAATTTAGGGGAGGCCACCTCCCACCCTGATGCCTCCTAATGGACTCAGTTTGCACTGGGTGAGCAAGCCTGGGAGACACATCTACCAGGGCAGGACAAGGCCATCTCGTTTTGGGTTAAGTGCACAGAAAAGGCAGGGTGCATGGAGTGGGGTGAGAGCTTTGTAGTCACTGCTGTGAATGTAGATGTGAAGGTCTGAGGGTAGGCTGTTGGTGCTGGCAGCTGCCTTGTAAGCACAAGTCTGGAGGGTGAGCAATGGCAGCAGAGGGCCACTGGTGCACTCCCACTGCCCCTGTCTCTGGGGAAGAGAGCGCAGGAGAGAGCAGCATCCACTGGGCTGCTGGATCCTGCTGGCTGGGATCCCTCCGCAGCACGTGAGTGGGCAGCAGGGCCTGCAGGTAACCCTCCTGCACTGCACCTGAGGGTGCAAGGAGAGTTAATGTACCTGGGGTCTGGGGCCTCATCCTGGGAGGTGCTCATCTCTGCCAGCCCTCTGAAGTGAGGGGGACCAGCACCCCTCTGGACACGGCCTCCTCACCCCCGAGGATGCTGCCGGAGCCCAGTGATCCTCAGGGCTCTCGCTCCTGTCCGTCGCACACAGGGAGACGTAAAGCTCCCTCTGACTGGGACCCCAAGCTGCAGCTTACCCCAAACCAGAGCAGCCATGCCTTGAACAATTTGGTGCAGCTGAGCTGTGCTGGGGAGTATGTGCCATCGGTCCCCCAGCTCAGATGCATCTCCAGTGGGACCCAGATCTCGTGGAACGGGACTGCCACCTGCAAGGGTAAGCACAGCCCCGCATCACCCTGACCTTGGGGTCCTGAGCTGGTGGCAGACCCTCCGTGACGTGGTCGTGCTTCAGCCCTACCTGGGTGACGGTCCCGGCTCAGGAGACCTGGATGCCTTGGCTTTCCCCCTGTCCTGGCAGTGCCGGGGCACTTTTTGTCTCGGCACCTTGCTGCTGTGAGCCCTGTGCCTTCAAACAGTGCCTGGGCATATGGCCGAGGTGGTGGGAGTGGAAGGACCTCTGTGTGAAGGCTAGGGAGGAGCCCAGTCCCTGGTCAGCCTTACCCAAATGGAGCCTGAGTGGGAAAGCCTACACCTCTGTAGGGATGGAGGGGACTGCTCTTGGGTGGCCTGCTGCCACCCTTAACTCTGCTCTAGGCTGCAAGAGAGGGATTTGCAGTCCAAAGTGGCAACCAAAGGAGCTGGACAGTGTCAAACTCAGGGCACTAGACCCCACAGCAGGCACCTTCCCATCCTGCTTACACCCGCTCCTTCTCCTCTGTGCAGAGAGATGCCAGCAGCCCCAGTGGGACTTGAGGCTCCACTTTACCCCAGAGCAGAGGTTTTACAGGTTCAATGAAGAGGTGACACTGAGCTGCTTTGTGGAGGACCCTCCTCCCCTTGCTGTGATCAGATGTGCAAACGGGACGTCTCCAGGTTGGAAGGATGCTTGGGAGGTGAAGGACATTCAGGGAACATGGCATGTGGTGGCAGAGAGCCTGACCTGCACCACAGGTAAGTGGGAGAGCAGTAGGTCTCCCCTGCTATATGCGCTTCTCCGCAAGGAGGGACCCTGGGCATCCTGCCGTATCTGACACCTTGGCCACAGCTCAGAGATGGGCCCCAGTTGGGAGCCGCCTCCAAGGTGGGGAGGGACAGAAGCCTTCAGTGTGGGGCAGGTTTTCTCACTGTCCCTGCGTCTCCTCCCAGTCTATTCCTGAGTTGCAGGTCGGAGGAGGCCGGATCCTGCCCCTCAATTCACCTCTCTCCCAGTGTCCTATATCACCACTTTGCCCAGGCACAAGCTCCTTTCCTGCACCTGGGGGCCCTTGGGTTTCCTGGTGGTGTTGAACACTGACACCACAGTCAGTCATGGCAAAGCCTCGGTCCCCCTCCCGCCTGAGCATCCCTTGTCCCCGAGAAGGACTCTCACACTTTCTGCCTGACAGGAAAGTGCCCAAAACCCCAGTGGGATGAAAGACTTTGGTTTCCATCAGACAAACAAAATTACCAACTGAATGAAGAACTGACACTGACCTGCCCTGGAGATCTCAAGCCATCCTTCCCCAAGGTCAAATGTGCAAGGGAATTTCTGCAAGTGAGTTCTGGGGAACCAGTCTATGGAGATGCCTGGTGGGGCAGGAACAGCACAGGTGCCTGGACGCACATTGCGAAGGCTGTAGAGTGCATTGGTAAGTGAGGCGGCAGCAGCTCTCCCATGCCCCCTCTCTATCTTCACGCTCCATAGCCAGTCATGACATTGTCCAGCTGAGCTGCAGGCACGCCACAGTCCCTCCTTGGTGCTGTGTTGCCCCTGCAAACTGTTGAAGAGGACAGCCCAGCCAGGGGACGAGAGACAAGGTAGTGCCAGCCAGGCAAGCCAGCAGCTCCTGCAGTCTTTCCTGAGCACACCAAGCGTGGGGTCCTGCAGATGGGTGCCAGGGCCTGGGGCCGGATCCGGGGCCGGCACCGAGGTGCCCACGGAGGTGGCCTGCTCCTTGCTGCACCTGCAGATGCCACCCTGGAGTGCACAGCTCTGCTTGTCCCCCTCTGCCCGTGTAGGTGAGGGACCCTGGGGACATCTCCTGCAGCCCCAGGAGTTGGAGTGGAGGCGACGGAAGGGAGTCCTGAGTGCCTGGGGCTGGGTCAGCCCCTGGCATCGGGGCTGGAGGCTGTGGGGGATGCAGCAGGGGCAAGAGCAATGCCCTCCCTCAGGTGATGAGGATGCGGGGCTGCCCTGGGCAGGGACAGACCTGTGCAAGTGTGGGGCTGGCCGTGCACGGGCAGCCCGGTGCTCAGGGGAGGCGGGCAGGGAGAGACGATGTGGCAACCTCCCCGCTTGAGGCTGTGGGAGATGGCTATGAGTGTCCACGGACACGGGGTGGATGGGGGAGGTTGATGGATGAGTGATCTCTCACACTTTGGGTACACAAGGAGAGCCCGCTCCAAACACACATTGCCTACAGGTAACGTCGTGGCAGATGGACATGTCACCATCCCTCTGGATGCATTTGGCTGGATGGATTACAGGGGACTTCTCTCCCACCACACACCCCTGACCCAGCCTGTCACCTCCCACTCCAACTAACACCCACTTTCACCTCTGCCAGAAACTTGCCAAAAGCCGTTGTGGGACCGAAGACTCCAGCTGGCACCAGACCGGGAGAATTACAAGAAAAATGAGGAAGTGAGGCTGAGCTGTCCCAAGGGTTTCCAGCCATCCTTCACTGAAATCAAATGTTCAGGCAAAGTTCAGCCCATCAGTTATGAGAATCCTGTATACAGTGACCTATGGCTGGGAAGGGACATCACAGGCGATTGGATCCGCATTCAGTCCAGTGTGGAGTGCATTGGTAAGAAAGGCATCAGGAGCTCTCCTGGCTGCCTGCTCTACTCCAAAGTGAATGATTGCTGATATCCCACCACCCAACCCTGACCCAGCCTGTCACCTCCCACCCCAACTAACACCCACTTTCACCTCTGCCAGAAACTTGCCAGAGGCCGTCGTGGGACCGAAGACTCCAGCTGGCACCAGACCAGGAGAATTACAAGAAGAACGAGGAAGTGAGGCTGAGCTGTCCCGAGGGTTTCCAGCCATCCTTCACTGAAATCAAATGTTCAGGCAAAGTTCAGCCCATCAGTTATGAGAATCCTGTATACAGTGACCTATGGCTGGGAAGGGACATCACGGGTGGTTGGATTCGCATTCACTCCAGCGTGCAGTGCATCGGTAAGGGAGGCATCGGCGCAGGATGGTCCTTTGCAGGGTCAGGATGCTGGGAATGTGTCTGGGTGAGAGTCAGCATGGGAAGGTCATGGTTTTCCCTTGGGGCCCATGCTGTGAGGTTTGATAACCGTGGAAGCAGCTCCTATAAGGCCAGGATGAAATGTGTCCCATTGTGCTCTCCCATGGCACCGAAGGATGACTGCAGCCACACACCTCAGAGGGTGTGAGAGCAGAAGGACCACTTTGTTGCTCCTTGTGAGCTGTGATGTAGCCCAGCTGGGGGGACACTGTCCTGCGCTTCCCTCTATTCCAGCCTGCCACGTCCTGATGTTTGAATGAACGGGGGCAGTCGTCTCGCTGGGGGAATTATCCCAAAAGGTCACATCCAGCTTCCGAGCGTACCATGACCCCAAACTCCTCCTGCTCCCCTACCAGAGAGCTGGAGTGACCAGGTTCAGCCTCTCGCTTTGCCTCCCAGCCGGCTGGTGGGGAGCAGGGCTGTCGGACTGCAGCACCCTTGCAAGGCTGGGAGGGGAAGGGAAGGGGGTGACCCTCTTGCAACGTTTCCTTCACAGATGTCCTCCAGGTTGTCCCTGGGACCTTGGAGGTTTCCAGCACCAGCATCAAACTGAACTGGACCTGCAGGCTCCCTGACGCCTGCCAGCAGGTTCGGGCCAGGTGCCGGCTGGAAGAGCATTCCTCCCTTCCCTGTGAGGCTAAGGAGGTGAAGGGAGAGGAGACGCTCCATGGCCAGGAGGGAACATTTACCTGCCCCCCTCTGCAGCCCTTCACTGTCTACAGTGTCACCATCTCACTGCTGCCCAGCACGATCCTTTTCACACGGCTTCTCAGAACAAAGGAAACGGGTATGTTTACATGAAATGTAAAGGTGCCTTTTGCCCGGCAGCTCAGCCGGAGCATCCACTCCCTGCAGTGATGGTCCTGGGATCAGGGCTGATCGGATCCTGTGGGGCACTGGGGAAGGGGCTGTGCAGGGCCCTGGAGCAGAGCACGTCCCCTCCTCGCTCTCCCCCTCCTCACCACACCACTGCTGCTCCTGCTGCTGCTGAAGCACATGCAGCCTTTGTGGGGGATAAACCCTGCTTGGGGGGTCCCTTGGCGGGCCGTCTCCTGGTCCAGAAGCTGCCTGCACCCTGCTCTGGGCTCAGCCCCTCCTCACCGTGCCCGTGCGTGACCCCGTCCTCCTGTGCTTCCAGTGCCGGACAAACCGGAGAAGCTGTGGCTGGATCCCAGCACAGGGTCCCTCAGGTGGAAGGCGCTGCCCTCCTGCAAGGGGGAGATCATCGGATACCAGGTACCAGGGGACCGCAGGCTGCCCATGATCTCCCTCGCCTCGCCAGGCACCCCTCTGCCTGGAGCTCTGTGCAGGCAGCGTGGGGGAGAAGTGTGAGCCGTCCTCGTCCAGGGCCCACCAACTCTATAGCGCTGGAGGTTCTGGTGGGGTGAGGTCCCCTCCTGTCTGCAGCCAGCAGCAGCAGCAGCCCCTCTCCGCTGTGTCCCTCCCTGACTATGTGCGGGAGGTCGGTGCTGCTCCCCACCAGCTCCCTGTCCTTCCTCTAGCTGAACATCACAGCCAGGAGAGCACACGATGGCAGCTTCCTTGAATTCAGTCAGGTGTTGGTGAACCAGTCTGCCACTCAGTATACGCCGCCTCATCAGACACCTGGAAGCAAATACACAGTGACAGTGCAGGGCCTGACGGCAGCTGGTGCTGGGGCTGCATCACGCCTGGAATTTCGAACCTATGTCTCAGGTAAAGGTTGTTCTGCTCTAGGTCTGGCTAAGGTGGCCTCCCTGGGAGTGAGCGCTGCGCCTGGAGCAGCTTCCAGAGCTGTGTGTCCATGCACTCTGTCCCCAACAAGAGAGAGGCAGGGAGTGTGGTCACCCTGAGAGCCCGACTCAGCAGTGGGCTGTGGGGCTGGGTGGGTCCTGTTTCAAGGGGGTGCGTTGCCTGGTCCTCAAAGCAGCTGCGTCGCTCAGTCCCTGTTTGTGCATGCGAGAGCAGAGCTGGCCCCTCTACTCTTCCACTAAAGAAGATGATACTCATCCCTGCATAAGGATGCACTTGAGGCTCAAGGTCAGACAGCACTAGGGCTGCTGAGCCTGGGTCTGTGCGTCCTCTTGCTGTGTGCAGGCTCGTTGAGTGGGCTTTCAGACCCTCCGGTTGCGTATGGAAGATGGGGCAAGTCCCCATGCTCCAGAACATCCCTCTGCCCTGCCCTGACTTGCAGACATGAAGGCAGGGGAAGGCTGTGCCTCAACTGCCTGTCCCTGCAGCAGCCAGGACAGCAGAGCCTGGATACATGTGTCTGCATGCATGCACACCCCCAGTGAATGCCAAGGTTGGGGCCATTGCTGGCGCATGGTCCAGGCTGTGGCACCCGTTCCTGACTGTGTTAGTTGCAGGACAGCCTCTGGGTCTGTGGCCTGGGTCGGTGGTCATGGTAGTGGTGGTGGCGTTGGTGGTGGTCCCCCTGTCTGCAGGGATCCTGTGGTTTCTGCTGTCCAGGTGAGTAGGCAAGAGACTCGGAGTCGCTGCTCTGCCTCCTGCCACGCTGTGCGGTGGGGTGGATGGGGATGGAGATGGGGGTCCCCCAACTGCTCCCACCCTTCTCTGGCCATGGGCGATGCAGCTGGCTGGTCCTACCATAGCTCAGCTGTAGGGGCCCTGGCTGGGGCTCATAAGCATCTTCCTTGGGGCTGGGGCAGTGACCGTGTGTGCTAAGAGACCCTCCTCCTTGTTGCTATTGCTGCTGCTGCTGCTGTCCCCTGGCGTGTTGGTGGGCAATGCCTGCCAGCTCACGAGGGGCCCAGAGGGAGGGTGGGCAGAGCCCTCCATGCCTCTGCCGCTGGGTTCCACGGGGCCCTGGGCCACATCAGCCTCTCCCCCAACTCAGGACTGCCCTTTGCCTTCCCAGGAAAAGAAAGGCTTTGCCCAGGAAAGCCGAAGAGGATCATTACACAGGTGGGGTCTGCATCACAGAGACGGCTGTAAGGCTGGGTTTGGAGCTGGGAGGGAAACAGGTCTATTGCAGGAGAGCCTGTTGCCATCCTGGAGTGGCTGCAGGCAGCCCAGCTGGCTCTGGCTGACCTGCCAGCCAGAGCGGTGCATCCCACACCTGCTATGCCCAGCCGAGAGCCTCCTCCGGCTGCCTCTTCCAACAGCTCCTGGCTGGGGTCCCCCCGTGGTGCCAGTGAGGTTTGGGAGCTGCCCCTCGTGCTCGCCCTGCCCGGGGGAGGCATTGCCTCTGCCCAGTCCTGCTGCCCTGCTGGTGCATGTCCCAGGGTGCCCTGCAGCCCCCAGTGCTGCTGCCTGCCTGGGTCTGCCCTGTGCCTTCTCCCACGGCTCCTGCGTCCCTCAGGCTGTTTCTGTCATGTTGTCCCCCCAGAGCTCCAGCCCTATGAGAACTTGGATAATTACTGCGTGATCAAGGGGACTTTTCTGGCAGAGGAAGATGCAGGTAGGACACGGAGTGCCCTGCCTGTGTTCCCTGGCGTGGCAGAGAGCGAGTGGAGAGCGGCAGCTCTGGTGACATGAGCTGCCTGCGCTGCTGAGGGCACGCAGCAGCCTCTGCCCTGGGTGTCCTTTGTCTCTGCAGGTAAAGGTGGCCAGGCTGGAGAGATGTTGCCCCAGCCGTTGCCTGCTCTGGAGTCCTCAGGAGACAGTCAGAGCAGTGAGGGAAAGAAGATGGGTCGGATGTCCAAAACTCGGTGCTGATGGCACTTCCCATAGTCCCTTCTCGAGGCCTGGTGTCCCCAGGCTGGAAGCAGGACCTCATATAGCTTGTGCTGGGTTATTGCTCCCCCTCAAACTTCCTCCTTCATCAAGCTCCAGCATCTTTTGTCACAGAGCAGGAGCAGCCCAAGGCTTGTGCCAGCAAGGATGTGTTCTGGTAGTCCTCCAGTGCTCTGGCAAAGCCATCTCACCCTCATTCTGGTGCCTGCAAGTGTCCTGTGAGACTGAAGCAGCTTGCTGGGTCCCAACCTCTCTTTCCCCGCGCCATATTCCCATGTCCATCTAGACCCCAGCCTCTGCTTGAGTTTGGCAACTGCACTGCCCTCACAGTTGTGCTGCTGTGTCCTAACAACCAATAAATTGTTCTGGTGTGCAGGGGCTGCCTGCCCCATGACAGCTCCCACCTTGTCGTGGTTCCTCCCTGCTTTGTGTGTGAAAGCCGTGTCCCTATGAATCGTCATGGAGGAGCTTGGACTAGGCTTTTCCAGCCCCTGGCAACCCTGAGGAAGCATGCCTGAGGAGCTACGTGCTCCCAGAGCAAGGCTTCGGGTTGCTACTTTCCCTCCTCCCCATCCTACAAGTAGCATGGTCTCAGCTAGGCGTAGCTGGACCTCTGTGTTGGTCTGTGACCCCCTCCATGGGTGTTGGTGCTCATTTCCCATTTTGTAAGGTGCAGCTGTCCCTGGCCCTCTTGGGAAATCCCCATCCTGCAGCCTTTGGGATCTGCTTGATCTTGGCTGCTGCCGCCGCCCCAGCGCAGCCTCCAGGAGGCACTGTCTCTCCTGCACTGGGGGATGCTGGTGCCCAGTGCAGCCTGGAGATTGAGGGGCAGCCCGAAGGCTCTCCTTGGTGAGGAGGATACTGCTGGAAGATGGGGCAATCAACCGCTCTCTTCTCCAGCCTTTTTTTTTTAGCCTGCATGTGCCAGTAAAGACATGTTTTGGCAGTCCTTCATATGAGCTCTCTGACCACCACCGCGGCACTGCAGCTGGCCCCTGGGACCAAAGCATCTCCTTCCCATGGAGCTTTGTGGTGTGACCTGCGTGCCTGACAGAGCTGCTCTTGATGGGTGTTGAGCAGAGAGGGGAAGAGGGAGCTTGACCCCATGTGGCTGCTGCTGGTTGAGAAAGGGAAAAGCGCAGGGCTGGGATATGGGGAAACAGAGGGTTGGTTTGTGCTCCTGCCCCCTCCTGGGTTGCCCCGCTCCCCACCCTGTATCCCCATAACCAGTCAGTCCCTGGGCTGTCAGCCTTATGACTCTGCCTGCTCTGTCTGACAACCTGATGGTTTGGAGGGGGCTGCTAGCCCTCCCCCGCCCCAGCTCCTGCCTGGTCCCCTCATTGCCTTTGTGGGGCCATGGTCCCCTCATTCCCTGTGGGGTGCTGAGCTCACTGCACATGGTTGAGGGGAGGCCATGGACAGGGTTGCTGTGGCCTGGAGCTGTGGCTGACAGCCTCCCCAGGCCTTCAGAGCTGTGCTGGGCACCTCTGACATGCGTTTGGACAGGTCGTGTGTTGGGAACCAGTCAGTGGTGGTGCTCCCCGCGTTTCTTCTGGGCAGGAGTGTGTCCTGTGCATGTGCCGTGGGCAAAGCTGAGGGATGAGCCTGGTCTTTGCTCCTCTGCAGCCCCTGTGTCTGATCACCCAGTTCTCTGGGATCTGAGACATCCCATGTGGGCCCATGGGAGGTTCTGGAGGAAGAGAAAAGCAGGAGCTGCTGCAGAGCAAGGGGGATGGTTTAGTACCTCTGAGTGAGGGTTTCCTCAGGCACTCAGCTGGCACTGGAGGGCAGGGTGGTCTGCACCCTTGGGACAGAGGAGTGTTGCCAGGCGGTGGGGGAGGAGGAGGAGGCAGCTGGGGATGAAGGAGCAGGGAAGGATGAGCAGGTATGGGTTGACTGTGCCTTTCAGAAGGGCCAAGGACTGTTTCAGGACTTGAGGTACTCCTTGCAGCTCACTTCCCCATTCCTGTCCCTGCTTCTCTATGTGCTTTCTCAGAAGTCCTCCATCTCCTGTGATCACTGAGGGGAAGTGCAGTGACTCATCGCAACTCTAAAACCCATGCAGTGGCATTGGGAAGCACATGGATATTGCCTCAGAAGTAGGAGCAGCACTTCGTGAATGCACTCGGGTCACTAGGAGGGTTTTGTGGGGAAACTCCGGGATCTTGACAGGGGTTCCTCTGTTGAATACCAGAGCCTGGATGCCCCTGGGGGAAAAAGGCAGCAAAAGGCAGCAGCACTGACACTGATGGGAGGGTGCCTCCCAGGAAGCCTCCTGTACCTCATAAGATTTCCACACGTGTCGGTTTCCTTCCTGTTGTTGCAAGTCTTGCAGTCAGTCACAGATGCCTGGGCTCAGAGGCAGCAAGTGGGGCTGAGGTTTCAGTCCTGCCTGGGGACTTCATGCTAGCATGGCCCTGCAGTTGCTGGCTCTGAGGTTTCTCCTGGTCCTTTTATCTCCGCTGCCAGCACAGAGCCAGGAAGAACCTGATCCCAAGGTCCAAGGAGTGCCCTGGAAAACAGGTAGGAAGCAGTTCCTTCTCTTCCCTGGAGAGATTTTGCTGCTCTTCCTCCTGCAAGTTTGATGTGCATCTTTACTGCCGGCAGCCCTGGGCTGGAGCCCAGGTGGACCCCTGAGGGCTGTGTCAGCTGGGGCATCTGCTGTCTCCGGGAGACCCCGGGGGGCAGAAGCCACAGTGGGGTTTGGGTGTACTGGGGGTGCTGTGGGACGGACGGGATTGGGCTGAGCAGTCGGGGATGGGTCCATGCCCTGCACCAAGCCAGTTGCCAGTCGTTTCCTAAAGGCTGCAGGCATGAATCAGGCATGAATTCATGCATAGTGTGTCAGGGGGAAGGGTCTTCAGGGAGCAGGGCTACCACTTTCTGTACACACCCTATCCCCAGGTGTGCCCGAGGGACACTGTGCCTGCTGAGAGCAGAGCAAAAGGGAACTTGCTGCCGCTTTGCTAGCTGGATGGGCCTGGGCATGGGGAGCGGCTGTGTGGCTGGGCATGGGGTAGGTCGTAGCTGTGTGTCAGCGGGACACAGATGCTGGTTGCCGTGCTCAGCTGGGCATCTCTTGCTTCCTGCAGTCGGGGTTGTTTGAGAGCAAAGCCTGACCATAAGTGGCTTGTTCACCAGCATGTCTGTACTTCTTCATGGCTGTTCAGAAGATGGTCTGAACCTTGTGAGATCCCTTCTCTGCCCCTTTGGGAGAAGGAAGATTGTATTTTAAGCACTCCAAGGACTCCCAGAGCCCCTTGCAGAGGCTGGAACAGGGAAGTGCTCCTTCCCAGGTGCCAGCATCTTTGCCTGTAAGAATCATTGCCACAAAGCCTCCCCTCACAGCACTCAGCAAACTGCTGGGACAGGCTGTACCTGCTCAGCCTGGAGGATGGTGAATGTGGTGAGGAGGGGATGTGGATGATGGAGCAGGGCTTGTGGCAGGGAAAAAGGGCAGGGGCTGTGGTAAAGCAGAGGATGTGAATGGAGAAGGCATTGCTTATCCCCGTGTTCCACTGCACGGTGGCATGGGGCAGTAGGAGAGTAGTCGAGGGACTGACTGAGCCAGCACAGGGACCCCTGAAGTGTGACAGGGGCATCTCTGATCCCTGTGGGAAGGATGAGCCATGGCTGGAGAGATGTGCATCCCAGCAGGGCTGGTGGTGCCATGGCCCATCAAGGGCAGCCTGAGCTGCGGTGGGTGACATGTCTGAATGAGTGGCTGGAGGGGGTCTCCTAGTGCAGGGGTGATTGTCCTGGGAAGCTCCCTGCTGTGGGCTGTGGAAGAGAGAATATAGTGTCCCTGGGCACAAGGGTGAACGGGGGAGGTTCCTGGATGAGTGATCATTCACACTTCTGGTACACAAGGAGAGCTCCCTCCCTAGAAGCCTTGCCTGCGCGTCATATCCTGGCAGATGGACATGTCATTTTCCCTCTCCCTTCAGGGGCTGCATGGATTGCTGGGGATTTCCCTCCCACTGCCCACACATGCCCCACCTCATCACCTCCCACTCCAACTAACACCCACTTTCACCTCTGCCAGAAATGTGCCAAAGACCCCGGTGGGACTCAAGACTCCGGCTGGCACCAGACCAGGAGAATTACAAGAAGAATGAAGAAGTGATGTTGAGTTGCACTGATGGTTTCCAGGTGTCCTTCACCCATGTCAAATGTTCAAGTGAAGTCCAGTCCATCAGTCATGGGAAACCTGTATACCGAGAAGTTTGGCTTGGAAAGGACAGCAGAGGTGGCTGGATTCGCATTCGGTCCAGCGTGGAGTGCATCGGTAAGGGAGGCATCAGGAGCTCTCCTGGCTGCCTGCTCTGCCCTTCCTGAGCAGGGGAAGGCAGGCTGTGCATGCACAGGTTTCAGGCTCTCTGCCTGCCTGGGGAAATGGTAGGTGCTGCTGAAGGCCGTGTCGAGGCAGCCCCTGAGCCTGCCCTGGGTCTAGCCTGCGGTTCACCAGTGGATGGGAGGTTCTTGCTGGACATGCGGGTCATAAGGGTGACTCTGAGGGCTTCTGGCAAGAGCATGTGCATGAAGGAGAGAAGCATGGGAGAGTGTGTGTGATGGAATTTGTGGTCTGCATGGCATCACGGTTGGGGCAGGGGGATCAGTGGGCTCTGCTGCCTGTGTCCTCTCAGACCAGGCAGCTGTGAGTACCACAGCTTGCTCCCTGTAGGCTGGTGCCCTCCAGGCTTTGTGTCACGGTGGGCACAGGCTTGGCACCGTCTTCTCACAGCTTGGGGCACGGAGGTCTGCTCCAAGGGAGAACAGGGCAATAGTGGGCTGATTTGGGAACCCGGTGAGAAGTCCCTGAAGTTTTGAAAACAATAGTCCTCTGCTGCTCCCCAGCTCACTGAGGGCCATGAGACCGGGGCCACAGCAAGAGGGCTTGGGGCTGGTTCCCCACAGGCAGCTGGGAGCATGGGTAGTGTGAGGAGGTCTGTGGGAGTGGAAAGGGATGCTTCTTCTGTGACCCACCCTGAGGGACAGTTCCGTGCATGGCCCAAGATTTCAGGGTATCCCGCCTGGCGCCCTTAGCTGCTTTGCTGACTTCTTCTGGCAGGTTCCTAAGGCATGAAATAGCCCTGGCTTCTTAGATGATGCCACAAGGCACCAGCATCAAACACTGGTACATCAGTCTCTGTGCAAGCTTTGTGCACAGTATGAGACCCTTGTGGGTGCCCCAGTCCCTCAAGCTCCTGCTCCTCGCCTTTCCAGAGAGGCTTGGGGGAAGCAGCACAGGGCCCTTTTCCCCCTCATCCCTTTCCTGGGGATGTGGTGTAGGAGAGCTACTCCGTGTAGTGTCCGGGAGCTCCATCTCTCACTATACTGTCAGGCAAAATGAGCCTTTCTCCTGGGGTCTACGCAGAGCATGAAAGGGCTAGGTCTTTCTAAGAGCTGCATCTGTTGGACTGTAGAGATGCTGGGACCCACAGACACCTCAGTTTTGACTCAGTGGGGAAAACTGCCTTGAGCAATAGTAGTCCACACATTCACCCACATTCGTTCCTATCCAGACTCCTCCTGCTCCCCTACCAGAGAGCTGGAGTGACCAGGTTCAGCCTCTCGCTTTGCCTCCCAGCCGGCTGGTGGGGAGCAGGGCTGTCGGACTGCAGCACCCTTGCAAGGCTGGGAGGGGAAGGGAAGGGGGTGACCCTCTTGCAACGTTTCCTTCACAGATGTCCTCCAGGTTGTCCCTGGGACCTTGGAGGTTTCCAGCACCAGCATCAAACTGAACTGGACCTGCAGGCTCCCTGACGCCTGCCAGCAGGTTCGGGCCAGGTGCCGGCTGGAAAAGAATTCCTCCTTTCCCTGTGAGGCTGAGGAGGTGAAGGGAGAGGAGACGCTCCATGGCCAGGAGGGAACATTCACCTGCCCCCCTCTGCAGCCCTTCACTGACTACAGTATCACTATGTACCTGCCCCCCAGCAC